AAAGAGCGGAGTTCCTGAATATCTCCTCTTGTTCTTCTCAGGTTGCTAAAGACCTTGTGTGCGTTTTGGTGTTCAGTGTCTTTTTCGGAATCACTGGACCAAGAGAAGTTCAAGGAGATTGGCAACGCTTTCCAAGTCAAGGGAGAATTGCTGAACGCAATGACCTTAGCTTTGCTGTGCCCTTCTTGCTGACTTGTCATATCTTGTCATGCTTCCTGTAAATGTGCCTGGTTGTCAAGACGTCGTCACTTGGTTATGGGCCATCGGCAGTTTGATGAGGTTGATGACCTCAAAGAAGCCATATGCTCAGAAGTTGCCTTGTCTCAAGTTTGTTTTGGCTGCTCTTGTTGAGACTCGACTGTCGTTTGCTTCAGACAATCGAAAAGAAGGAGAAACTGTCCATCGCCGCGTCCAAGATTGACATGTACAGCTCGAAGGATAGTTTTTCCTGTTTCAATGACTCTCACAGTGTCTCAACTGATTGTGGCATTGTTTTTTTGCCAGTTTGCTCGTGACAGGATGGAAAGTGGATTTGGAAGAAGGAGGAGAAGATGAGCGCATGCCTTCGTGACATTTCTGAAGAGAATCCTTATGGCTACATTGTGCCATAGCAGCTTGGTTGGTGCAAAGCTGAACCAATTGGCACAAAGCGGATTCAATCCAACCTTTCTCGTGCATGTCATGAGCAGTGGACAATTTCACCAAATGTATGAAACTCATGTGACAACCTTAAGCAGCAATTTTCACAATTCAACACCTCAATAACGAGCCAGCAATGATCGTGGAATGATCCCGCGACACAAAAAACCAGCTATCAGCTGCCCCAGTCAAAGAAAACACTCCAAGATGATCCAAGTCTTGAATAAAACGGGACCAAAGGAGAAGGAGAAGGAAGGCTGAAGATCTTTTGTTTGGGATCTTCAGGCACTTGCCTTTACCGACCCGAGCATCGGAAACTTACCAGTCTCAGTCTCAGTGTTCTCAGTGTTTGGAAACTTCTTAGTGTTCTCAGTCTCAGTCAGACGTTCCTTTCCTTCATTGTCCAGCCTTCATTCACCCCGCGGTGGCCTCTCCAAACCGAACAAGCCAACGGCGTATTTTCCAGACCACCAACCCCAGACCATCCATGCGACTGGAAGAAGAGTGATGTATATTAGTTCTCTACATTGGGTCATTTTTCATGGGCAACATGTATAATGTTGTATCGATGGTATCTATTTCCAGGATTCCAGTCCCATTCGTCTGGTGTGGGAACGTCTGTCTCTAGGAAGTCTGGACGGGACCCTGTCCCATCGACATCACAGCCGGTCACAGCCGGTCTCAATCAACCTGCGCCCCTGGCCCTGGGGATCCAGTCGTACCTTCTCAGAAGGTGAGGACGGAGACTATTTATGTAGGCTTGGAGGGCCCAGTCGTACCTCCTGAGAAGGTGGCAGTGGATCCCTAGGGTGGAGATGCCATGAGATGAGAGATGTCGTGGGATGTGACGAAGAAACTGAGCACGAGATCTGCTCCGCAGCAAGACTCTGGCTGGTCGAACATAGACAGGCACCAAGACCTTCACTCAGCTGCAACACAGTTTCTTACACCTTCGAAAAGCCAAGACATGATACACTGATACAGACACGATGAAGCATACAATTGAGCATGGATACTCCGTGGTCGTTGCTTCACTTCGACTTGGTGGTTTCCTATACTCGTACCAGTTTACCCGTCTGAAATGCCTACTTCATCCTACTTCTCACTGCCCAAATCCGTCAACCACCAACTCCTGTGGCGCCAACTGCCTGAGAGTTTGGGGAGACCAACTCCACCGGCACCGATTTCCACCGTCCACTTCCACCGATTTCCGCCGTCGCTCCCAGCAAGATGGGTCATGCAGCGGTGCGCCGGTCCTGCGCTGTCTGCCTTCAGCGGTGATGTCTCACCACTTGGTGCTGACGAGAGGTCAAGTTTATGCCGGGCTCCCAGTCAAAGAGGCAGGCGCTTGTGCATTTGCAGTTGCATGGAGGTTGTTTCAACCTCTGAAATGAAGCTACTATACCGACTATACAGTATAACTTAATCCACCCGTGATATAAGGTGCATTTGCGAGGTGGGTGTAAGTGTTGAATCCTTCCATCAACACGTTGACATGACAAGAGCAAAGCAACGTCGGAAACACACCAATACAAGTCAAGTAGTTATACTGACTGACTCGAATGGAGAAAGAACCTGTCAATCCCCTTGCAGCATGTGTTCGACGCAGTTTCTATTCATTTGGGGACGATGGACCATCTTCGTTTGGGGATGTTCCCAAGGCTGTGAAGCCGTGCTTCGAAGCATGGAAGAGTTTGGCTGCCCCAAACGATGTGATCTCTTCAGTACTTGGAGTGCATTCTACTAGCAATGCCGGCAATGCCCTCCAACCTACTAGCACTAGCCTCCATCCTACTAGCATTGGAGTCCATGAAGGATGGACCTCAAAAATGAAAGGAGAGCGGCACCCCGGCCCTCAAATGGACCCCAACATGGGAGAGCGGCCAACCGCCCGCCCAACCCTGAAGCATCCCGCGATCGCCCGTGAGGTGGGACGTGTTTGGCTTCACGCGACTTCTCGAAGCGCCACATGGTGCGGTGCTCAGCTCGCGATTTACATAAAGATGGGTTCACGGTGAACTGGCCGCTCAGTCGTGTTCACGGTTTCTTTGAGCAGATGTTCACCACTGACGGGCACGAGTCACCACAGCTTGCTGAGGAGGAAAGGAGGAAACAGAAAACGGCTCGGCTTTGGTTTGACAATCCATGTGACCAGATGTGTTCGGTTTGGTTTGGTTTTCCTTGGTTTCTCAAGTTTTTCTTTGTGAACTGATGGACGAGTCATTGGTGAGTCGCCCCAGAGCGTATATACTTCCATCATCTTCCATCTCACCATCTGGCTCTTCGGAGATGGAGATCGGATGGACGACCCAACCAACTCGCCATCGATGGATCGCATGGAGCTTTGATTGAGACGACGTTTGTTTGGGCGGAAGAATCCCTCCCTTGGGTCCATGAAAGCTTCACTTGATGTCGCGTTTCCAGCTTCGTGGGATTGTAGCTTCGTGGATGGCAGATTCTTGAGCTTCAGTTTGTTGTAGCCTGAAGAACATGTGCTGAATGCAAAGAACATCTTCGTAGCCTGGGGTTGGAGCAGTAAATCTGGTGAAGAGCTGCAGAGCTGACATACCAGGTTGGCAGCAGATAGTCAAAAAAGTATAATACTGTATATATATATAGAACCAATGGTGAGTTTGAAGGGTAGTGGATGGATCATCAAGATATATCATGTTCATACCCAGGTATGTAGTGTCGACATATATCAAGATACATCACATCAATGATCATCAAGAATCAAGATCTATTCGTAGCATCCGCGCTTCGATGTCCTCGCACCAAGGAGAACTGATGCGGTTCGATCCCTTCCAGGCGTTGGACGCGGGATGCGGATCTACTCCGGACGCAGGGGTTCACATGGTGTATATAGGGAAAGCATGGCCAGAGACTCCCCCGCAAACGATCCCATAGAAGGTTTCGACCATTTTCCGAATACCAACCCAGTGGTTTTGGGGTTCCATGTGGTCCGAATAGCAGGGGAGTATGGCCAGTTGTCATTATGGTGCCCTGTGTCTAGTATCCCTTTCGCATCATGTCATCATAAGTCATCATGACCATCCCTACGTGGTGATCGTGGTGCCCAAGCTGGGGCAACCGTGGGAACCTGCGGATTGACTGAGCACGTAAGGGATCATGTTCGAGCAAGCCGACTGAATCATTCCTTTGGGACCCGGTGGAGTCCTGCTGAGCTTCGAACTAATGGAGACATGACGTTTATTTGAGGTACAACATACGGACTCTAGGAACTCAAACAGGATCTGCATACTTTGTGCAAAACAATCTTAAGTAGCTTTTGAAGATAGGAACTTCCAAGATCGTGGCAGAGATGCCATGTTTGCCTCCACAGCTATGAGAGCTATCTAGTGTGAGATGCAAGATGAGCTCACCGCCAATATGGGATGAGCTAAGCGACTGGGTGATGAGAAGCACCACCAACCTCCATAGGGCACACCCTCCACAGAAGTCTAGGACCCCAAACAAACCCTTTCCATTCCAAGAGAGGTTGAACAGCCCTATAGCCTATCAAGCCTATCCCATATGTACCACTACTACAGGGTCCTATATGGTCTTTCCATTGCTTTTGGGTGAACCCCAACACATCTGAGACGGTCGAGCGGGTCGTGCCAGGCGCCGTTCACGGCGGGTCACGGACGGCTGGTCTGCAGGCGGCTCCGCGGACGGTAGAACCATGTAGAATCTAGAACCCGTTGGCGGCTGGGGATGATGTCTTGTTCAACAGAGGTGAATAGCGACCTGAACTAGGACCCGTAACCCTGAGTACTGAACTGGGATAGCCTAGTTCGGGTTCTTCAACCTCTGTTGGTACACACCCAACATCGCCTCCCCAGACACTTGGGCGCCGCATCGGCCGTCGGCGGCGGGTCGGCCGGTGTTCCAAGGGAGAAGCACCTCCGCCGGGACCCGCCGATGTTGTGCGCTTTGATTACGTTGGCGAACGGCGGACGCAACACATATCTATTCCTGGTTGGAGTAAGAATGAAACACAGGAATGGGTCACTGAAAGAGCGTTCAACCAACAGAGGTTAAGCGACCTGAACTAGGATAGCCTATAATAGGGTTCTTCAACCTTTGTTGGAAACTCATGGCATTCGCTTGGGCATTCCATCTGTGGCTCCTCCGTCACCCTGCTTTCCTATCCTCCGTCACTGCGAGGGACGAGGTGTGGGGTGGTTTTCACGCTCACCAAGTAAAATGTCACGTGGCAGCGTAGCAGTTGTGTAGCAGTGTCAACCACTGGGTGCACCCATCAATTAAAATAGGAAGGACCTCCTGCTGAAACTTCACCTCCCCGTGGAAGAAGGTGAAATCGTTCGAAGACGCCGTTTCCATCCGTTTCCCTTCGTTTGTTTCGACATCGGGTGGTCAGAGTCCGATTCCGAGTCCTTCGGCCGTGTCCACGGACAGGCCAGGACCTTCGCCACGGACCTCACGGCGGAGGCGGAGGCGTCGAGACGCTTTGGGTGCTTCACCTGGTCCCTGGTCCCATCTTGAAGCCTCCCCAACATGGGTACTGGTATACCCCGAAACAGCCTGCCTTTGGATCTTTTTGTCCATGTCTCAAATGGGTCAACAATGGTCAACAGATTTGGGCAACAGCTTTTTACCACAGATGCTTGCATCACTCGCAGCCTCGCAGCAGGAGGCCGGATCCTACAGCGGTGCTGGCAGCTCGAGCGGGCTGACACGCAAGGAGGTTGAGGAACTGCTGAAGGAGCGACTTTTTGCTCAGTGGCGCAAGTGCACCGGGACGTTGGGAATGATCTACGGCCTGGGCTTTGTGCGTCCTCAACTCTGAACGTGGAGGAGTGGAAAACTTGTGCATCGTTCCGTCATAGACGTGTGCGGTTGGGTCCTGAATCTGTCATAGACCCCCCAAGAATATTGTATGTAGTTCACACATGTTCACGCCAATTTCTTTCTCAAATAAACACTGAGGAACACCCTCCCCTAACAAGGCCACACAACACTTGGACTGATCTTTGGGGAGATGAACATCAATAGATACTTGCGATTGCTCGTCGCTCTCAGATCTGCTTGGTTTCGTGGCAATTCTGGAACCGGTGGCCGTGGCCAAAAGAAGACAACTTGGAACCTCCCGTTGAATGCTTACATTGGGTTCTTTTGACTCCCGCGTTTGTTCTTTTTGTGTTGATCTCATTTTGACCAGAGTGTTGTTGGGGCGGCCACTCTTAGCCGATTGATGTTGATGGGTAGAATAGACTGAGTAGGTATTTGACAGCGAGCCCATTTTTGTCTGCACGATTCCACGGAAAACTCTTCACCGGTCATTTCTCAGGTTCTATGTAAAGATTCTATGTTAGTTTGCCGGGGTATATACATTGAGCCCGCGCTTGTGCGCGCGCACGCAGGACCTTCGCAACACCAGACCAGCCGAGGATGATGATGAGGTGTGCTCCTACGTTTCGATGTGGGCAGGTGTTTGATGGTGCGTTTGTCATGGACCCTGTCAAACACCATCATGATCTTGGAACAACATTGAAAAGATAGTGTTTGGGAGAGGCCTCTTCATTTGAGAGAGAAACCGACATGTGGGTAGTCAAAGCAACAGGTGATGTCGGCCCATACCCCCACCGCTTTTGGCTTTCATTGAAGGCAGGAGAACTCTTGCTGGATGGGGAGGCCGGCAATGCAAGGGCAATTACAAATGATTGGGCACAGCCGGGCACACCTTGGGTTGTGATCCCACCCAGTAGTAGAACAACTCATGCTTCTACTTCGGATGTTCGCAGAGGCTCCGGAGCCTCCGTGTCTCCATCGCTCTCAAACCGTCAGATGTGCGAACGTACAGAGACCCCCCCGGTCAGGACCCGGGCCAGCGGGGGAAGAACTCCACTCGCCGACCCGACCTGTCACGGATCTGAAAAGCCCACCCCCAAACCATCCAAACCATCCATCCGCACCGTGCAGAAGCCAGCCCAACAGCAAACAGTCCGACCTTGCACCAAGAACTCAGAACTTCTGGGGCGGAGGTTCTGAGCCTTCCCACGGGCGAACCAGGCCCACCAGGAACAATGTGCACGTCTGGAAAAGGCAGCTCCAGATCTTCAGGCGCTCTGTGCTGTCGGTGTGTCGCGTGACCTTGCTGGCGTCGGTTTCGTTTCACAAACTCAGAAGCCCATCAATCAGGTGAAGATGCAAGCCGAAGGATGCGCAAAGCAGCCATTTTTTTGGTGCGTCTTTTTCAAGACAATGTCAAAAAGCAAATGAGAAGCTGTAAGAGGGTCTTGATGGTTAGTTTGAACAGTTTGTTCCTGTATGTAGTTCCTCGGTCAATGTGTTTTTTGTGTTTGTTTCGCTGGTTTGGGAATGCACCTCCTGTGGCCCCCCCCAGAGGGGTTGCAGACTCGCTGCCACCTGGAAAGCCTTTCAGGACTGGGGAAGATGGATCAAGCGTTCGATGTTGATCTCTTGAGGGGCCGAAGAGGAGTGCAATCGTTTCTTTTTCAAAAGAGATCCGCCTGTGGATCCGCCATCCTCCTGTGGATCCGCATGGTGACCAACTCCACTGCCGCAAGGCAGCCCAAAGTTGAACAAATAAACCCATCAACAACCACCCAAAGAACAGGGAGCGAATGCCAGAGTCAGTTGATGGGTGCAACCTGGTTGGGTTGCTATTGGGGTCAGTGAATCGCATCTTCTACGCCAGCTGTTCCACTTTGAACTTTGGTCAGATTGAATTTGCTGGATGGTTATCACTCCCTGGAACTAACATGGAAGTGGAGAATGGCCCCTTGGAAAACAAAACATCCTCTACAAGCAGGGGAGCTTTTTGTCCACGTCCATGTGAGTTCCAGTCTCACTCTGCTCTCAGCGCCACCTCATCACTGGCGAGCTCCCTCTTCGTCTCCAGCTGCTGCGGCGTGTGGTGCGGGCGCCAAGCGCAGCGCAGCGCACGGTCCGCACGGTCGGTCGCCCGGCAGCGAAGGGTCAATGGATGCTGGTTCACCTTCACCAGGGACCCTGGGCTCTAACCTCCTGAGAAGGTGGGACTGGGGTGGGTGCCAGGGGGGTCGAATACTGAGTCGAATACCACTGAACCTGAGGAGATGGAGCGGGCCAGGAGCCCTAGGGTTTGAAGGATCCAAGGGTTGTTTGGAGCCTTTGTGGAAGAAGAGGGCGCCTACGATTTGGCATGATTTATAGTCAATTCATTTCCTTTCTTTGTTCTTCTTCTTGGCGTTTTCAGTGGAACAAATCGTCCGCTAATTTGGCATTTGTTGAATGCAAGCCAGAATGGTATGGGGCAATTAGACAACTCTCTTCCTCAAATGAGCCGCTCGATGTTCCAAATAGAAAGAACAACGCCCCCAGAAGGTCGAAGAGAGGGGTTTTAGATGGTTTAGGTCGAATATCACCCACACTCATGGCGCCCCACTCGATTCTTCCGCCCATCCCGGTCTCGGCCTCGTCAGGCTGAGCTTGGGACGATTCCAGGAAGACCGATGCCCTACGCGCTTTACATGTTGATCTTCTTAGAGGAGACGAGACAGAAGACGAGACAGAGGAAGACGAGTGAAGGACGTGGCGGTGAAAAAGCTCCGCACAGGTCACCAGCAAATCCATATATCCGGCAGCCAGTCCTGCAGGCATGCATGGATTTGAAGGCTTCTGCAATATGCAGTACTGTATATAAATATACGGTATACGGCTAGGTATACTGAGTACTGTTGAGTTCATCACTTCGAAGCTTCGAAGCATTGAATCGCATCCAGCATCGGGTACTGGGCTCCAGTGGTGCTCAGGACGAAAGACTCCGAATTGGTCCGGCTCCGAATTGGTCCGGACTGTAAGTAAGTAAATTGTAGCAAGTAAACAGATAACCCCAATAGACTCCATGGGACTGCCGGTCCGGACTGCCGCCCCGACTTGTCTGGCACCACCCCTGGCCGTGCCACTCGGCAGTCCTATGGCAGTCCCATGGAGTGTCTGGGACCAGGACCCACAAGCCTGGTTCATAGACACCCCTTATATAACCTCTTTTCGGGGCTATCAATAGACACGCCGGACCAGGGGGTCCTGGTATACATTGACCATCATTTACCACCATGAAAATCACCCGGTCACTCACTCTTCGTGCCATTCCGGGTCTAGAGGAGGGTCGACGGGTGACTTGTTCTGCTCTGGTGCCACCCGAGAGACGTCAGGAGTATGCCAAGATGATCGAAACCCTCCGCGATGGCGAGACGATCATGGACCGCGCCCAGGAGCTTCGGGAGGCAGAGACTCGGGTGGTACGGGCACTTGGGAGTTCTTCTGGGTGGGAAGGAAGCTTGTGTGCTGAAAAGAGCCGCGTGTTTTTGTTTGGCCCCAAAGTGTCCAAAGCCCACAGAAGTAAGAGTTCATCAAATGTTCCATCGACGATTGATGACTATAACTGCTCGTAGTATGCTCGTAACATGGTAAACTTGTTCCAGAATATTCAATCACTTCCGAGTATATAGAAAGGGCCTAATTACCAGGAAGCCTATGGAGCATAGACGGACACCTTGGCCACAGGGAGAGGTTTGGGTTCGTTCCGGAAACGCATGGCATCCCTCACTGTAGTGCTCAGCTCAAGGGAAGAACTTTGCTTCAGATCTCACCTTCCTCGCTTTCCCAGATTCGACGAGCCTTCCCTTACGTGCACCATGTGGCGGGCGTGGGCATATGTCTCAGCCACCTTCCTTGCTTGGTCCCTATGTCATGGCAGCGAATGTCCATCAGATTCTGCACAGACACAGCCTTGGCCAATGAGTCTAAAGGTTTATCCTTGCGAATCGGAGTGCCCCGCAAACAGAGACACCTGCTGCGAGGCATGCGACATGGACAACCAACCATCGTCTTATCAGTTTGCAGTTTGTCAAGGCTGCAGCGAGGACAAGGGCATCTCTACACACGATTTCTATTGTGAGCACATTGTCCAAAGGTGGCCTGGCGATGGCTGGCAGAGGATTGAAACCCAAACCCTAACTTTCATGACTGACACGGGGTAGTGGTTTGAAGAACTTCACTTTTACCGCAAGTTAGGGTGGTTCAGGTTCATTTAGATAAATCCCGGGATTCCTTTTCATGCCGCAGCCGCAGAGTTCTTATTTGGAGCTGTGTGTATGTTCACATGTAAGGTTGCCCACAACCACCCCGACGACCACTACATCGACGACAACTACATCGACCACCATGTTGACCACAACGGTAGAGACCACCACTTCTGCTACAGACGCTGCAACCACCACAGCCACGACGACCACGACGGTAGAGACCACCACTTCTGCTGCAGACGGTGCAACCACCACAACCACCACGACGACCACGACCACCACCACAACCACGACAACCACAACCACCACAACCACCACCACGACCACGACCACCACAACCACCACCACAACAACCACCACAACCACCACCACAACAACCACAACCACCACAACCACCACCACGACCACCGCCACCACCGCGACCACAAGCACCACAAGCACCACAAGCACCACAAGCACCACAAGCACCAC